AATTCTAGCTCTATTGACATTCACATAACCATTTTGCAGCATCAATCCGTGGTTGAGCAGACAACAGGCAGGTGAGGAGTTCTTCATTTTGGCAGCTAACTCGATCAATACATCAGGTACCTATCAGAAAGTTATAGTATCAGAGAAGCAGCATCAGCACCGAGGACCTCTTATATAAGTTGAAACCACTGATTATGTATTTGAAAAAAGAAACAGAATTAAGATAATCCAAATGTAAGATTACATAAAGCATAATAAATATGTTTTACATTTTTTACTCCCTCACATGCAACAGAAAATGGTTATACAACGCCTTCCAAGTGTAGGAATGTCAATTTTGAAGTGAAAAAGTTGGCCAAACCACTTGGTTCTTCACTTGCACAATTGATTCTAACATTTTGTTTACTTTAGCCTAAGTTGGCCAAACCACTTGGTTCTTCACTTGCACAATTGATTCTAACATTTTGTTTACTTTAGCCTTTGCATGCACCTCTTGTCATTTTCTAACAAAATGGAAATATATTTAATATCCAAATGATTGACAACAGTCAATGAGTGGCCTTTGCTGTCCATCAAGCTATGATGGTTATTCAAGGCTTCACACTCTAGTTATCCTTTTAAAGTGACAAGTTGAAATAGAGGATTCTCTAATTGCTCGCTAATAAGTAATGATCTACCATCCATGCAGTCCTTTATCAGAACAAACTTTGAGGGATGTCAAAACTTTGCTAGCAAGTGAAAGGGGTATTGATTTGGGTAACAACCTACACCACTAAATATAGAAACACATTGTCAGAAAGAATAAATTTATAGAGGCCATATCAATCAGTTACGCTCTTAATAATTAATTTTTAGACATAATGATTTTGGCATCATTGATTTTACTAACTGCTATCCTCATAGCTGATCCCATGAGTAGGTAAAAGATGGTTGCATAAGGTTGATATGGCAAAACTTTGTCACGTCTTATGGCTTGATTTTACTAAGGCTCCATTTGATTCGCCATATTTTCCAACTTTAGTAGTATTTGATAGGCAAAATTTTTCCCAGGAAATTTTTTTCCACCTTCTCATTTTCCACATTTTTGAAGAAAATAAATTCTTGATGTTTT